GCATTATAAGTCATATGATCAGAAGCACCAGTGTCAATTATCCAAGTATTAGAGCCAGTACCTGGAATAGAGTCAGAAACATGCAAATTTGCAGAACAAACACAGTAGAGGTAGATGCACGAACACAGTAGAGGCACGCAGTAAAGGCACGAACACGACAGAGCACAAGGCACAAACACAGTAGAGGCAGATGCACGAACACAGTAGAGGCACAAACACGACAGAGCACACAGCGGAACACGGCAAAGGCACAGAGACAAGAACCCTAAAAGAAATTAGGGCACACCGTAGAACACGGGTGGGCACAACACACACAGGTCACCAGAAACTAGGCTCTGATACCAAGTCAAACAATATGGGTAGAATATTTTCAGATATATTTCATTCTCCGAAAGGAGGTATTTATAATACAGGTTACAAACCCTAGTAGGGTTTAATTAGGAAATAAGTGGAATTCTAATTACATAATATCTATACAAAAGGAAAAATAAATAAAACCCAAATAGAGTAGGATATATTCTACTCACCAACACATATTACCAAGGTACCATGGATATGGGGGTTTGAACCTAAGACCACAAGTCTGCAAGTCAAAACTCTTTGACATTGGACAAGACCCCATTGGTAGGAGCTGTAGAATTCTTAAATTATGTGTTATAATCCCAAATCAACTAAATATTTCACCTAAATTTCAATTCTCGAAACTCTTCACTAATACTTTTGTTGGTGCTTAATTTATCCTTTAAACTTCTTTAAATTTGTTTAAAATCTCATACACCCCCAAGAGAAGAGCTAATGGTACCTATTACAGAACTTTTATGAATATGAACTTTTAAAATTATTTATTTGTTGTTATGTTCACATAAGTTAATGGATAAATTTGGCACCACGTTGTTGCCCAAAGATAACAATTGTGTATATTATATTTGCATATGTTGCACAATCGAAGATAAAAGAAGCGAAACAATTGCATAAAATCGAAAGGAAAATAGCATTAACTCATTACGAAAGAGAAATTGAAAATCTAAATCAACAACACAGTAGATGCATATTGTAATTCAAGGAGAAGAAAATAGATTTTGTCAACTTTTGCTAACATCATAGGGAAGCCCAGCATCACTTCCAGTAATGCTACCTCCAAATAGTCCAGGATGGAGCCCTGAATCACTTCCATCCTTGTTACCTCCCAAAAATCCAGGAGGAAATTCTATACGACTCCCAGCACCGCTTTTATCCGCCATGCTGCCGCCAGTAGCCAATCCAGTATCCTCGGTTCTACCTGCAACATTATTCCCATTATAAGGGAACATCCCAAACCCCATCTCAATTCCACTAGTAATGCCTCCATAATTCACCATAGACATCCCCATATCACTTCCAGCATACCCTTGACCTTCAGAGTTGTCAATTTGCATGGCCAACCCTAAATCACTTCCATCATAATTGCTGCCTCCAAAGTTCCAATTGGGCAACCCCATCTCATTTTCATGAGTTAAACTACCGAAATATGCAGTTGAAGGTACCCCTAGGTCACTTCTAACACTGCTGGTAGGGCCATTAGTGTTCCCAATTTGCTTCCCCAAATCTTTGTACCATAACAAACACTCAGTAAAATCGCCTTCAATTTGGCTCATGTTTTCTGACTGGTCTCCATTTTCCTCAGGAGGAATTCCTACTGAATGACTAGGATTAGGTTTCTCAAAATAATTGATTCGTTTTCGAATCTCTTTCATCCTGTCCTCTAATGACAAAACCAAGTCAGTTAGATCGCTATCTTCAAATGCAAGCAACGACTTACCTTTTTGAATACTTTGGTACAAGATCTCATTTGTGTTCAGCTCATTGTTCTTTTTTAAAATCTTCTTGATTTGCTCTTGCATTTTGGCTACCCTATCCTTCAGGTAAGTCTCTTGGCTCATCATCTTCTTCCACCGCTCGAACTCCGGTATGCTTTGAAACCTTGCAACCAATTGTTCAACCAGTGGGCGATCAGGCCACACAGTAGGCTCGTCACTATCAGGGCCATAAACAATGATAAAGGCGCTAACATTGCATAAGGTGTTTATCTCACTCATTTTCTTTAACAAGCATGCCTTCCTCTTTCTAAAGCTGGATTTTCTAGCAGCATCATTCACTATCCATGCAAGTTTGACCTTATTCCTAGCCATGGTTGAAGCTATAAATATTTTGGACGACCTCTCTCGATCTATTGAATTCTTCTATATACTGAAATTCTAGACCCACCAAGGGGGTATATATAGATATATTGAAGGTGGGATTTCCAAATAAATACAATTGGAGATGGTAAGTTATCCAAACACTTTTAATGTTCTATATCCCCTTAGAAGGGAGAGTATTCACTTTTACTGTATTACCATTTTATGCCATTCCAACACACCTCAATGGCATACTTATAATCAAGCCCTATATAGCATGTTACTAAACAACGTCATTATTGTTTTTCTATCTTTGACATTTTCTTAGTCAAACAACATAATCATGTCGAATATATTCTTCACCTTTAAAAAAAAAAAATACAAGTTATAGTCTAAAGGCTTAATTATTGTAGCACCCCCTGAAACTTCGGTCAAATCTCACTTAACCCCCCCAAAGTTAAAATGGCCCACTTTACCCCCTTGACCGTGGTTTTGTGTTCCATTTAACCCCCCACCGTCAACGCCATCCAAACGACC